AATTAGCTTGTTTTCCTCAACTATTATAATGAAAAATAAAAGTTAGTCACAAGTCACAGTAGCATTTTCCACTGAAGAAATTAGATCAAAGTTACTGGAATACATCAGTGAGGGGCAGCCCGTCCTTCACAGAGAGGGTTTGCAGGCTCCTCAAATGACATCTGCTCAGCAAATCAGCAGAAAGTAGAAGGAACTCATCAGGAAAAGAATGAACCATTTTCCTGACAAAAGGAAAGCCTCCTCTCTGAGCCATGGCTGGCTGCTCTAAGGAAGAGCCTCAAGACATACAGTTTAACTAAGAACCTCCACATTAGCGACCTGTATGTCTTTTGTCAGAGATGAATCACATAACATTAACTGATCAGCCCTACCCTGGCAGCATGTCATTTTGGCAACTGTTTCCACTTTGCAGAAGCAGGAAGCTGTCTTACCACAGAGGGAATGTCCTCTTCTTATCCCTGCCCATGCGATTTCTGTTAATTGTTGTTGAGCATGGCACTGCATCCAGGTGGTGAGAGCTGTTGGGCAGGGTTGGCACCCACTGGTTGTTCCTCTTTGCCTTCTGTTCTCTGAAGAAGGAGACTGTATGTTAAACTCCAGATCCTGAGTGCTGCTACTAAAAAGGCAACAGAATTTTAAACTTTAAGTCCCATTATGAGCTCCTCCTATTTTCTTCTGGAACCCTCAACAATATTGTCCTACTGAGAACTCATGTTCCACACTAGCCTCTGGGATGCCCATTCTCCAGCTCACAATTGTTCATTAGATATGAAGCCAGGTGCACCGTTATAAATACCAGGTTCATATTTGGATTTTCTATCTATACTTTATAAAAGGACTGCTGAGAAACACAAGGTCTCCAGAAGGCAGTACGTGCAGGGAGTGTGTTCTGCAAAACATCTGGTACAGCTGGAATGCAGCAATTGCAAAAAGAGCTGTATCATCAAACACTTATGTTTTTCTTCCTGTTGTATGTGGGCAGTAACACAATCCTTACGCTCTGGAGATCTTCATTTGCCCAACACTGCAAACAACTCTTGGCACAGACTGGCCAACACTCCCCTGCACAACAGCCAGGGTTTATGCAATTTCTTGTGCTTCCTGCTCAAGCTGACATCTCCCCAGCAGCTCTGCTCTGATCTTGGCCCTCATGGATGCTGGTTACCTGAGGTAGGTAGGAGGTTCTGTGCTGATAGACACTGCCTTATACTTCTCATCATTCCCATCCAAGATCTCTTCCACTTCAGAAGCCTTTAACAGCGTCACGCTAGTGGCTAACGTTGTATAGCCATGATCTATTATCAGGAAAGATGCCAATAATTAACATGGGAAAGTACCACAGAGCACTGGAGCATTAATAGGCCGCATAGTGAAAAGCCCTCCTTGCCACTGCAGGAGGGACTAAAACAGGTTATGTGGTATGAATGTGTGCCCCAAGAGTCCTCTGGGCTTTGTTTATCTTCTCATAGACATTTAATTTTCAAGAAAGGTTTTGACATGGCATTTTGTACACATGGGATAAATTAGGATGACAAAATTTTCTACAATCATTTCTGAGCTGCCAGAAGCCTCTACTCTCCCTCACACACCAGGATGCTCTACTACTGGGGTAGATTACTTGCACTGGAGTGACCAGAAACCCAGCCACATTGCCTGGCACTAAAGAAATATAACCTGGTTTTGACGCCCATCTAAACAGCAGGAATAAATATGACTTTCTTAGGAGCAGGGGTGGAATGTCTCAGTTAATGCATGGCAATCCCCACCACAAAGTCTAGAGAAGAAATACAACTCAAAAGACAAAAGCAGTATGACACCTTGAAATGGTTCCACAGTGATAAAGCAAAAGCAAAAAAAGGCATCAATCTCTCTTTCCCTTGTATACCTATCCTGTTCATACTCTATTAAAAGTGTCTTTCATTTGGGCTAAGAGTCAAGACACAGGGAGGGTTAGAATGACATGAGCTTCCCTCAGGTCCTACCACTGGATGAACCTCGTTCTTCCAGGGTGCAACTTATAGACTCTGGTGATTTCTGTTATCAAATTTACTTAAGATGGAAAGGAACGCTACAAAAACAAAATTTCAGAAAAGAAGTCCTTAAATACTCATAATTGTTAGCTAATTTTTAAATCTAATGTGCTTTTAATTCAGAAGAGGAAGAGAAAAACAACTCTTTCCTACCCTGAGTTGCCCTTTGCCACATGGTTTAGCTCTGCACACCTACATCTGCCAAAATGTAAAAGTCTCTTCCACAGCCTTCTGGGAGGAAAAGCCCAGAAAACAATAAATCCTCAGAGGACATAAAGCTTGGAAACAGAGAGGCAATGACCAACAGAAAAGCTGATAAGACTTAGGAAAGGGGGAGAAACCTCAGGACAGCTCTTATTGAGTAACAGAGACCATCTGCAGTTGAGAGTCACACTAAGGTTCTGAGAAAGGAGAGTTGAGCATGTGATCAGGATGCACAATTAGGGCGACCACAGGGAGAGATCAGAGGAAGAGGATTAGACATTAATATATATTGTAACAGAACCAAAGGTCACAGTGGAGATTCTTCCTCTAGCACAGCTAAGAATAACACACAGATAAGACTTACATCTTCTGGGACTATGAGACCGCTGATTTTCTGTTGGGAAAAAGAAAAAAAAGCAACAGGTCAGCAGGATACTCAAAGGAAGGAGACCTAAGTCCAGAATAAACCATTTGTTTTTATTATGCTTTAGTCTAAAGAGTATACAAGTCATACTGCTAAGAAATTTAACTGCTTGTTATTAGTCTCCCACAAAAATAATACCATGGCAGCTATATTCTTACTGCAGTAGTCACATCAGTGGCAACACACCAGAACAAATTCTGGCAGGCAGAAACATTCAGTCCCTACAAGAAGCAGAGTTAAGCAAAGACAACCATTTTTAATGGGGCATCTATTTGACAAGAGAGACAAAAATGTCCCTCTTTGTCTATAAAAGTCTCTTCTGGAATACGGTATTGATTTTGAGATGTGGCTTTTGCTTTAGGATGAAAGCAGCTAACCCCAGAAAAGCCATGATGGATGTTTTGATTTTAGGACACTGTTGATCAGCTGATGTTTGCTGCTAGGCTGAACCAGGAGCTACTGGTGCTACCACTGCAGAGCGCTCCATCACTGGGACAATCCAAGTCATACAAACCGTAAAGGTGCACAAGCTTGCCAGAGACAGTTTTTCTCAAGACAAGATTTCAGATAAACATTACTGGGAATGCTTGCTCATTTTCTCACCATGTGAAGAGGCCACTATCTTCTTCCTTTCTTCCACTGTGGCTAATCGCCTCCAGAGTGAGGGATATCTCTTGTACAGGGAACCCCGGAACATACGCAAGTAGTTCCCCACCTACAAGAAAAGTGGAGAAGTTGCCTGCTATTCCATTTAAGAGATTTTTTTTAGAAGAAGCTGAAACAAATACAGCTCCTTGTGCTAAGAGGAACCACTTAAGTTTTTGTTCTTCATGACAGACTGACTGCACAGGGTTTGGCATCATAGAGCATTGCAATTTTTGCAGCAATACAGAAAACAAAACTTTTATCAGCACTTATTTCAGTAGCCACTAAGAAAAAAATTTCACATCCATTGCCAATAATCCATTTAATAGGAAAAAATTCTCCATTCATTTTCATGCATTTTTAACAACCTAGGCTTCTTTACTTCAGCTTCTGTTCCAATGCACAATGCTCAGTAGGAATTAAATGAAACCAGGTACCCAGTTCTCTGACAGTTATAATTTTTACTGTGAACCTCTGTGCCATCCAGACATTGCTTGAATACAACAAATTCCCAGAGACTTGTATTTTGTTTTAAATCCTTTGAACATGTAAAATGTGATTGCTGCCAATAATCCTTTTCCAAATTTACTGAAGATCTATAAAGCAGTTCCATTCTTCCTGGCACAAGATCCTCACCTGGGCTGAAGGCTACAGGAGGACTTGCTGAACAACAAAACTACTTCTAGGCCATGAAATCAAATTTTTAGACTGGTAGTACACTGGCAGACTGCCACACAGTAAGATTTTTACTCTTTGTTTGACAAGACTCATTTTGATCTTAACATCTATTTTCAGGTAACTTTTAATTGTATCTGTTGCTCCACAGTGCTCATCAACAGACAGAATTAATGGTAGATAAAAAAGGCAAACCTTTTTCTCCTTCCATGTGCCTGGTATGGCAAGCTCACAGATTAGCCGACTGCAGTTACAGTTCTTCTTTCAAACTGCATTTCACATGAGAGCACAAGGGGACTTTAGCCCCTGCTCAACCTATACAGCTGGCAATTTAACTTACCCAATATTTCCTTTTTTACACTGGTGGGCAAGAGCTAAAACATTTTTTTCCAGTTTCCAACTGCGATCATTTCCCTGGTGCTGAGGCACCAGTTTCATACTTCAATAATTGTCTTCGGGGAGGCAGAACAGCCTCTCAGCATGAGAGGCTGTAGCATCAGCACATACAATGGGGTGCTACAATGCTGCACACAGGCATCTCTTGGTAACTCATTTGCACAAGGCTGAAAGAGCCGTGCAGGCGGATTTTGGTGTTGTTACTAAGCATAAAGACCTATGTGGGCTTAATTACCTCACGGCATGTGAAAGAATCCAAAACTCTGAACAAATGGGCTACATAAATTCGTGAGTATCAGGGAGCGGGGCCTCAGGCTGCGATCAGGCGAGGATCCGGTCTCTGCGTACCCGTGCGTGTCTCCAAAGGCCGCCCTTACTGGGAGCACTGGTCCCAGCGCTGCCGAGGCTCTCGGGCAGCGCTCACGGCCCGGCCCCGAGCGGAGCCCGGCCCCCGCCGCCCCTGGCAGCGCCCGCAAGCCGGGGGGCAGAGGGGACCCGCAGGGCCTGGAAGGCCGGTGCCCCCCCCCCCCCCC